AACAAGTTTGAATATATATACAGGATGTGTATGCAGGTATGGGCCCTGTATACCTATACGAGATCCTTTATGTGGATATGGGGTCTGGGACGTTTCGGTTCACGTACTTTACGGTGTACGGATTGCTGTGCGGACATATTGGTGCACGGTCATTCAAAATTTTGAGTTTTTTGTGGGGTTTTTTTCTGTTTTTTTTTTTAAGTAATATGCGCTATTTTAGCTAGAAAATAATTTTATTTTGCACTTTATAATTTTATAGATGTAGTCATCCATTTACGGTCACTTACTGATATCCTACCTAAGTGACCTTGTTAGGCGCACCACCATCCTGCGAGAGGACTGGAGACGTTGGACGTTATGTTTCGTCTGCCTGTGTCTTCTTTCCAACGTGCACCCTAAACGCATCACATTGTGTTTACGCGTTGGGCAGATACAGGCGTTCTCGGCGTTTTCTATAAGGGTATGGTCTTTAATATTGGTAATCTGCGTAGGAAAGGCCCCAACAGCAAGAAGCTTGAGAATGTTTAATATTACCCGAGGTTGTGGTAAAAGATGGGAAACTTTGTGGAACTTTGAGACGTCCTTCCTGTGTCCTTTTTCTTCCACGACGTTTCCCATCTTTTCCACAGTCTCGGGTGGTTTTCAACATGATCAACATCCACCAGCTCGCCGCCACACTCACCGTTTTTTCTTAAAGATTGAGAAGTTGTTTCTGTACGGTAACTCAGAACAATTTGGAATATTTTCAAATGTGCGAAATCGTATAGCATCGACTGTTTAGCACACATGACAGGAGAGATTAAAGCTCTTCCCATCCATCTCGCGTCGCACATTTCGTGATATAAATCGAGGCGTAAAACACATTGTTAACGTTTGCTGTCAAGCATGGTTCTAAGAGACCCTGAATATAAGCTATATGAATAATTAAAAAAAAAAAAGAACTAATATGTAAAAAAAAAGTTTCTCGGGACAGCTTCAGCAAAATCTCTTATCTGCTTTGGATACCACTCGGAAGTGCATTCAGTAGCGGAAAATAAAGCTGCCGGTTTTCGGCATAAAGCTGTTCGGTACGAAGCCGCAGCACCGACCACAACTGATGTCTCAGTTGAACAAACAATAAAAAAGGAAACAAGCCGTGCTTACAAACAAAGGCATTGACATCGAGGGGGCTGCAACCGCCGGGGCTATTGACGACCCCACCCCATCCTCAAAATAACAACTATGTTCCTTCTTGATCGGCGTGGTTGTTCCAAACCCCGAACCACTTCGTTTCCAGTTCATTGGGAAGCTCTTCACAACCACAACAATGATGTTAACATTCTCTGCAAACTCGAGAAAAAAAACTCTTAAGCTCATCACGGACGCTGTCGTCGAAATGGTCGCTTCCCGTTCGTCAAGCACAGGAAACAAGTTATCTGACAAACTACGAGAGGGGAACGTCCGCTGTCCGCATAGATCAGAGGTGGCCAGGCTGACCCGGCCAAAGAGCCGTAAACAAGACCACTAAACTTCCAAGAGCCGCCTGGAAGAGAAAAGAAGGAGGGGGGGGGGGGGGGTGCAAACTATTTTTCAGAGCAATAAAGAAAACCTAAAAGACTTGAGATAAATCTATCTTAGTCGAAAGCCGCTCAACTGTACGAATGGTAGCAGTATCACAAGACTACCAAACCTCAACCTGTTTTTTTTTTTGTTTTTTTTTATTTAAAACGCGATCATTTTCTTTTTGGGGGGAAATGCTCGTAAAACCGGGAGGGAGGCGGGGAAGGGGAGCGGGGTGTTAGGTTTATTTAAAATCCGCGAGCCGCATTTTAACACGCAAAGAGCCGCAGCTTGGCAACCCTTGGCATAAATGGTCTACGAAGAGTAGCTGGATGATGTCAGTGTCGTCATTCTCCTGTTTCTTTCAGCACTTTGAAAACAATACCATCCTGGCCTGCTAATCCAGCGAGAGAAAAAAACAACAAAAATACTAACAGTCATTTCTGAAGATAAGGCTTTGCCAGCTCTCGGCCTATGAGAGGGAGTGACATGGAGGGAAATAAACTCCACCCACAATTTAATACGTAAGTCATTTTCGCAAACTCATAGGCAGGCTGGCTCCTCGCACGACGAAAACAAAGCACTCAATCATTTATGGCTTATTACAGAATAATGTATGGGTGTGGGACCGGACATTTCATCGAACGCCGTTTCGTCGAACGCCGTTTCATCGAAGCCGTTTCATCGAATTCCGTTTCATCGAACGCCGTTTTATCGAACACCGTTTCATCGAATTCCGTTTCATCGAACGCCGTTTTATCGAACACCGTTTCATCGAAGCCGTTTCATCGAATGCCGTTTTATCGAACGCCGTCTTATCGAACGCCAGGGTGGCATTCCCGCTTCCTGAAGCTGGTCGGAGGTGCCCATCCCGGGTTCTGGAAGTTTTATACTTGCATCGCCGCAGAACATCAACTGATGGAAGACAAGCTGGAGGCGATGCTGAGTTCCCAAGAGCCTCCTCGCCAGAAGAAGGCCATAACGGCAAGAAATAAGAAGGTCCACCATTTTTATGAGAACCGACGGAGAATGGTTTGAATTCCGGAGAAAAGCTCACCGGAGAAGAGCTCACCGGAGATAAGCTCACCGGAGCAAAGCTCACCGGCCATTGAGCGTATGCGGAAAAAAGCTCACCAATTTTTTTCTTCTTTTTATATGGAGGCAGTTGGATCATGCGTAACATATATCAATTTATTAACATTAAGATTCGTCAGCTTTGTCAAAAAGAAAATATCCTTTTTTTGTAATATTTGTTAAGCTTATTGGGTATATTGCTCCCAAATTAATAATTGCGGGCGAGTGTTTTCTATGGCTTACCCTCTACGCATCGAAGCCTAACTGAAAGCTTTATGCACTTGAAGAACAAGAAAAAGGTTAAAACTTAATAATGTCTGCCTAAAACCTAAAAATCAAAACTGTAAATGCCTAAAGTCCGAAAGTGCATGCGCAACAACGCGGTGCCTGAAATTCTCTTTGAAGCTGCTGTTCACCTTTTGAAAAGAGGTATATAGTCAGTAGGATATCGAGGCTTCTTTCTTCCGCGGGCATGCATATTTTCTAGCCGTTCGTGCTGGTGTTTCCACTCGATGCCTTTGTGCGATAGTGCCCTTCTACTGCGAACCACCCATTACCTTCAGAGCTGCACACTGGCACCGTTATTACTCGTGACCTATATAATAAGTAGTCTTGTGTAATGTATCGAATAGGGCGAGTTGGTAAACGTTATACATGATGAAAACCGTTCAAACGACGACGACGAAGTGAAGACAACAAACACGACAGGACGAGGCTGTTCTCGCAGCTAGAGCTTTGTTAGTGAAATTAACGGAAAGAAAACAGCGTAGCCGACACTGATTACTTTAACAAATACCTACTTATCTATTAGGCGCTACAAAATATTTGGAGCTGAGACGGTTCACACACCGCTATTCCTATTAGCTCGCAAAGAACAAACCTCTTTATCTGACAGAGCTACCGAAGGCGCACTATCAGCTGTGAATAAATTGTTGTCTTTTCTTACCAGTGTACGATGTTCTTATTTTATACTTGCGGTTTATTTAATATACATAATGGGCGATTTCTGAGGAATTAGTAAATATGCCCAACGAACTTCAAGAATATTACAAAGACAGAGGAGATATTTTTAATGAAGTGACGAACGCGAATTGTGTTAAATTGCCACGTTTGACGCAGAATCCGCTAAGTTAAAAAAAATTCGGTGAGCTTTTCTCCGCATCTGCCGGTTTCGCGGTGAGCTTTTCTCCGCTGAGCTTATCTCCGGTGAGCTTATCCCCGGTGAGTTTTTCTCCGGTGAGCTTTTCTCCGCCGCCCACCGACGGAGCATGGCTGTGGGGGACTTTTTGAGAGCAATTGCTCATCATTTGAAACGGTGAATGGCTGTCGCACGAACAGATGAACCCCCGAAAGTTTTCAAATAAAATTTGAAGTGACGTACTTACTTTTGACTTCTTGAGTCTTGGAACTAAAAAAAAAACAAAAAAAAAACAATGTTTTGTTGTAGTTTCATAACTAGCACCTCAGCTTTAGCTGCTGCAAGCTTCGGGCAGTAAAAAAGTATCAATAGAAATACATGATAGGCTAGGAGGCTCACAGGGCTAAAGTTGTTGCGCCTGCGCAAAACCTAAGTCGCCTTCTGGCCTCCATGAGTTGGAGTGCGCTCTTACCGGGAGTGCGACTTTTTATTTATTTGTTAAAATACCCTCAAGGCCCATCGGGTAATACAGAGGGGGTGAACAGATAAGTACAATATGCGAAACAAACATCAAAATCGGTAAAAATATCCTTATAGGTTACTGCATCAAAATAAATTGTAACAGCTACAAGTTTGGACATAAAAAAAAACACCTGACGATGAGGTGGGTGAATGACACGAAAGTGCACTCGATCCGTGCATAAAAGAGCATCTTTCACACTTTTTATATATATACAAAAAAAAAACATTCGATGAAACGGCTGTCAGCGATTCGATGAAACGGCGTTCGATGAAACGGCGTTCGATGAAACGTCCATTTTTTCGATGAAACGGTGTTCGACAAAGCGGCGTTCGATGAAATGTATGCGAGTACCAAATAATTGTAATCAAATGAAATATCGATTTAAATCAAGAAAACAAGTCAAATAGATTGAATAGTAAATTTATTTCGCATGAGATCAAATATTTGTGTACTCATTTTTGTGTGAAAATAGCGGGATACGGACATTTCGGTGCAGGACGTTTCGGTGTAGGACTTCTCGGTGCGGACTTTTCGGTGCACGGACGTTTCGGTGCACGGACCTTTCGGTGCACAGACTTTTCGGTGCACGTACTTTTCGGTGCACGGACTTTTCGGTGCACTGACTTTTCGGTGCACTGGCCTTTCGGTGTAGGAAGCAAGCATAACATCTGAGGCCAGACCCAAGATTTTAACTTGAAACATCTTTTATTCACAAAACACGTGCAATAAAAAATTTAGAAGGATACGTTACGAGCAACGCCTCTGAGAAATCGAAGAGCATGGTTGCGGTCATACTCTCTAGCGAGTGTCTGCAGGCGCTCGGAAACCTTCACATACTTTGTTTCCGGCTTGAATCGCTGCCCCATCTCAAGTTCTGTGAGCCGGTGAAGCTGCATGCACTCCTCTCTTTGTAGAACCTCCAGGAACCTCCAAAGAGACGGGTGAGAGCACTGCACATGAGCCTGGAAGCCCCTGAGCCATGCTTCCACCGAGTTGGTGGTCTTGGAGTCGCACTGGAGCACGGTGTCATGGTGATTCCAGAGTTTCACTGGAAACTGTGCGTCTCGCCTTCCCCCAGCCGTTGGCCGTCCTATGAAGGTATCTTCAAAGTAATCCATCACTGGTTGCAGAGCTGAGTGTACGCTAGACGCCAGTTCGGTGAAGATATCCTCCACATCACTCCGGGGTACCATGGAAAGAGCAGGTATCATGCGGGCCTCCAAGTTGATTTAAGGATCACAGGCGTATGGTTCTTGCAGTCCTTCAGATTGAACCTTGCGATAAACGCACTGCGATAGATGAAAGAAGCACCCACGCACGTCGGATGTTGGCAAGACCGTCTTGAAAGCGTTAATGGCTGCAAGTTCGTAGTCCACTATTATGGTACTTGGCTCGCAGACCCCTCCACACTCGCTAATAAGGGCGCTCAGAGCTCGCGTGTACGTACGACAGTTTTTACCGGTTAGCAGAATATAAGCCGCGGGCAGAGCAGATCCGCCAACTTCACAATGTAGGCTGTAGACTTGAAAGAACAGTTCTGGTGCAACCTTGAATGCACCGTCGGCAAACCATTTCTTGGATGTTTGAAGAACTGCAATCATCTGCGGACTGCAGAAAATGAGGAAGCGGTCCTGATCTTGCACACCGGAGTCGAAAACAAGAAACCTCGAGCCGTCTTTCTTCGACGCGTAGTTAGCTGGAATGGCAACGTCTTCTAACCTCAAGGGTAGGGATATGGGCCTTTGCTCCTTTGCACGAACTCTCCTGCACGTAAAAAAGTTGAGATATCGTTGGCATTACGGTTCAAAACAGTGACACATGTGAATAAGAAATGCGTGCAATGTACGATTTTAAACACTACGAGGGGCTACGCCCTAAACATCTCTAGACTGTGACATAAAATAGCATACGACTAAAGAAGTAAGAAGGGGACATGACTGCTCATAGTCGTGAACTGTAGCGCGCGCCTTGTTATTTATTCTGTTTTTATGCGGAGCGCCGTCCTGTTTCCTTCTTATTTTCCTAGTCGTTTGCACTTTTTTTTTATTTGACAGTCTAGATGTTTAACCGACTAGCCCATCAGAGGTACGCGTTTAAACACTTTTTTTAACTGTAAAAATAACGAAAGTATGGTAAGTATTTTCCCACTGCCATTTTCCATACCTCTTCTAAACTTTCTCCTCCCAAAATATATAATTAAGGTCTATATTTGCAAACTGGGTAGCAATTGTAGTAGCCTATAAATGCTTACCTCAATGTTCTCTTGATGGTATCGTGAGGTGGCAGGTAGCTACACGCTTCCGGCGTCATCTCGGTGACGAGGCGTCCGACAACGGCTTGGTTGCATTCTTCCGTTGTTTTGGCTCTCTCCTTCATCGAAGAGTAAGCCAACTTGGCTTCTTCATCCATTTGGCAGGTGGCATGAGTATGTTTGTTGATGAGTTGCACGACTTCCCCATCAATGGTATGTGCTCTTGCCTTGCATTCGAGCTTCCTGCTGCATGTCCAATATGTCTGCGAGGAATAAAAGGTGAATTAAATCGAAGTCGTCTAGAGCTTGACCATTAAGGACTGTCCACACTGCCCCATTTTCTTACGTTAAGTTACGCTACGAAATATTACGTTGAAGTCACCGGGATTTCTGTGCTACATATTAAGTGAGGCTACCAGTTCAAGGAGAAAGCATGGCACGCGACATTCGAGGCAGGAATGTTTCGGTCGTAACGTAACTTAACGTAAAAAAATGGGGGCAGTGTGAATCAGCCTTTTGTCTGGTATTAAAGGGAAGCTGAAACACTTCCTAAGAAAGAAAAAAAGGAGTGACAGGTGAAGTTTGGCGTATTTTTATGCCTTGAATCTGAATATCAGGTTCGTTTGTTTCCGAAGATGCAACTAAACACGAGAAAACACGAAAAACCTCCGACCAGTCCTAACGTCATACTAGGATCTTTTGGCAGCCAAACGCGTGTCGCGCGTGTGGGCAGCGCGTGCAATTGCAAGCTTGCCAGGTATATTCCCCCGTACTGACACCAGTCGCAACGTCTCTTTCCGACCTAAAAAAAAAAAAAAAAACAAGAATGCGCGTACATAGCTTTGACAGGCGCTGTAGATACGTGAGAGCGGAGGTTCCGAAAACTCCCAATATGACGTCCCGCCCCAGGAAGGGGGGCTTCAGTCGAACTTTGAAAATTAATTTCTGCAGGCTCCATGAGCCATATTGAAAAATAATCTCGATATTTGTGATCCTGGAGGACAAATTAAGACGATTCAGAAGTTTTCCCTCAAATACAAAACCGTTCCAGTTTTCTTCAATAATAGTTAACTAAGAGTCATATCCCATCATAGTGATATTATTCTATTCGATATCGATTAGGCCACAAAATATGCTAAAAGTAAGCTAAACAAATTGATTGACTTCGCATTCTTTTTTTACAAATTTGAAAACATATCGCTATTTAATGCTTTAGGCAAGCAGCACTCACCTTCTCTTTGAAGCAGCGCTCCTTGCCGTATTCGAACCCTTCGTGCAGAAGTTTGGACCCTCCACGTTTACTTCGCAAGTAGACCGTCATCCTAAAGCTACCACCTCGACCCAACCAACATCAAATGAAATAGGACGATGACATGCAAATGCTGCGCTTTTATCCTCGTTTTTGTACAGTAGTTAGCACTGTACCAAACGTTCCTGGGGCACCACTAGGTTTTGTTTCTAAGCGGACGTTGTAGATAACGAAGTCTGTGGTTTGGGGTTGGTTTGAGGTTCTTGGAAGGGAACAAAAGATTGTGTTCCGGGTGTACCTTTCGTTTATGGCTTTAGTGCTATTTCTAGAGGTTTTTGTCAAGGCTACTTTTTCTAAGCGGACCTTGTAGATAACAAAGTCCTCTGTCCCCCTTGTTCCCCTTCTCCAGGGATTATTTTCAACAAAGTGTGTAGTTTGGGTTTGGTATGAGGTACTTAGAAGTGAACAAAAGATTCGTGCTTATCACACTGTTGCTGTAACTGCATAATGTTCGGAAAAAACAAACGAGGTAGCTGGGTTCGACAGGTCACTGTTTTCGTGCCTTATCTTCTCGGCTTTAATTTCAACCCACTCTATTTTACACTAGTCTCGGGTAGTTTAGAAAAATGATCCTCATTGTCCTTTGTGTGTCCCCGTTGCCCTTCTTTTTTGTTTCCTAGTTTAATTCTTGGAAGGGTTTTGCCCTTTTGTGTCCCCTAGTGTAAAGGTTCAAAGTTGCTAATGGCTTGAAAGGATTTTGACCAATTCACTGTTGGTGCCTTCGAATAGGTGTGCACGCTTCGTTTAGGTGTTATAAAAAATATGTTTGAGAAAAGACCGTGCACCGAAAAGACCGTGCACCGAAAAGTCCGCGCACCGAAAAGTCCGCACCGAAAAGTCCTACACCGAAATGTCGTAGACCCGAAAATAGCAGTGGCTATGCATGATCTGGGTTCAGCTTCTCCTTTCGCGCCGTAACGACGTTCTGGGCCGTAAAAGAACTGCTTTAAAACGATATTTATACGAATGTTTTAACGAAAGCTTTCAAAATTCCTTACTATAACCAACCCTTAGCCGTGGGAGACGCCAGGAATTGAAAAATATATAATATTTCGCCATTCAATTAGATTAAATGTGCAAATTAACTTTGTAAATAGCGATTTTAAGGTTCACGTTGCAAATATAATTTTGTAGGCTACCACCATAGAATTTGCGGAAAGTAAAAAAGAAGCAAGAGGCTTGGAAATATTCGCTGACGAACTTTGCGCTGTATATACCCATTATTTTAGAGATTTGATATCACTACACGTAACTGTCTTATCATACCCATTACAGCGCAAAATTTGGCTGCGAATATCTCCAAGCTGGTTGCTTCTTTTTACCTTCCGTAAATTCGTTTAGCCTTCCATTATGGTAGCCTTTAAAATTATAATTGCAACACGAACCTAAAAGTCGCTAATAAGAAATTTAATTAGCAAATTTTAGTTGATAAGATAGCGAATTTTTCTATATTTCAAAATTCCTGGCTTCCCGCGCGGCTGAAAGTTGGTTTTCAAAAACAGTTTTTTTTGGTTGTTGTTGTTGTTGTTGTTGTTGCTTTTCAATTATCTTATAGCAATTTCTTATAGCTTTCGCTTAAACACCTGGTATATAAAATATAAGTGCATTTGCTTGCTAAAGGAAATGAAGCATAATGCATGCCTCTTGTGTGTTTTTTTCTTTTTTTGGTGGGGGGGGGGGGGGGGGGGGCCTTATAAGAAGACCCGTGATAACTATAATCGAGTCCATGAGGGGGCGGGAGCGTTATCGGGGTGTTTAATGCGAAAGCAATAACTGCCCATTGGAGCGAAGCCGGCGTTATCTGTAACCGTTGTCTAAAACTCTCTGTACCAGAAAAACGGCAACTAAATTTCTCTTGCCAATAAAACACAACGAAAAGCGCAGCAACCCAATGCTTCGTCACGGAAGCCATCGTGCAGCCGCCAGGATTCGCCGCGCTCGCGCGGGAGCCTGATATCCCCGCCGCAGCGCGGTGTGCGATAGGAACACCTGGCGCGCTGCTTGTAGGAATGCACTGCATGTAGGAACACTTACGCATTCTTACACGGGAGCAGTCTGAATTGTCTCTGGCGAATTTTTCTTGCTATGTTTCACGGGCTCTTTTTTTCGGGTCAGAAAAAAAAAATATATTTCAAGTGAACCGTATCACGTTGTAAACAGCTAAATCTGGTGTTTCTCAACGAGCTCTACAACTTTACCAATTACATTTTGGCTCTTAATACTGCATTTAAAAAACGAGGTAATTCGTCCCAACATTTTTTTAATTAGGCTTTATTGCAAAATACTGTAATTCTCACGAAACGCTTCCTAACAACATACCGTTGGTTTCATTGGCATAAAACGATCCGCTGTTATTAAAGAAAACAAAATCAGGGCGTGTTGTTTGATACCCGGTATTTACGTAGATCTACGTCTGGGTGGCGCCAAAAGGGAAACGCGGCTATGTTTTCAGTCATATTTTTTTTTTTTTTTTTGGCGAACTCACGGTTCTTTGTGGAGCGATGGAATACACGACAAGCATCGATATGAGAAGTATGATAAGTGTTGGCTGCATCGCAAACCCACAGATTTCGGAGCCGCTATCATATTCAAAAGTTGTTATCGATTTTCTGAAATTTTCAGTGGTAAAATGGCGGCCGATGAACCTCGTATAATACAGGGAGCTCTTTGGCATCAGTTACCGAAAATGGGCGAAAATGGGTACCATTTTTCCCTTGGAAATTTTGAGAAAATCAGAAGTTTTGAAGAAGGTTCGTGCTGAAATCTTGGCATCTGGTTCGGGCTTCTAGCGCTGCATTTGGGCGGAGAATGAGCGTTTGGTGAAGTATAGTTTATTTTTGCGGTGAACACTGTCATTTTTTTCTTG